TTTTTCCACCACCAACCATAAATGTTCTATAGGGTTCAAATCGGGCAATCCAACATATTAATGCCATTTGCAGCAAGATATCTGGTTACAGATCCAGCTTTGTGCTTTGGATCATTGTCATGTTGGAATATAAATTCCGTTCCAAGTCCTAATTTTCCTGCTGAAGCCACCAAATTCCGTTTTAATATGGATCTATGTAAGTGCTGATCCACTTTCTCATCAATAAATTTAATTTTGCCAACACCTGATGCACTCATGCAGCCCCAAACCATAACATTTCCAACACCAAATTTAAATGTTGCTTTCAAACACTTCACATTATATTCTCCGACTCTTCTATAAACTTTTGCACCACCATCAGCTCCATATAAATTAAATTTACTCTTGTCTGACCAAATAATCTTATTCTAGAACATATCATCCTTCAGAACATGTTCCTTTGCCCACTGCAACCGTTTTCTCTTGTTTACTATGCTGATGAATGGTTTTCTCAGAGGCATCCGTGCAAAAATTATTTGTTCATGCAGTCTGTTCCTAATTGTTAGTGGCGATAATTTAATATTTAATTCATTTTCCAGCTCTTTTGATACTTCTATGGCATTTTTTCTTCTATTCTGCTCGATTGTTCTAACTATGCACCTGTCAACTCTTGGCGTTGTTGATCTTTTTCTTCCTCGCACACCATTTGCAAGTATTTTGTTTGTAAATACTTTTACCATATATTTTGAACAGAACTTGGTGGTATTTTCAACATTTCTGCAACTTTTCTAATTGATGATCCATTTTCCCTAGTGTAAATTACTTGTTTATGTAAGTCAATACTATATTCTTTCCTTTTTTTTTCCATCATAGCCACGTAGTTAGGAAAAGGTTTATTTTTATTCATTATAGTATAATTTAACCTAAAAGTACAATATATTAATATGAAAATTATTTATAAACAAAATTTTACTTTTTAAATCAAATGTACGGACAATTTTTTGGTTTAAAACTTTTAAATAAGTTAATTATAATTTAAATTATTGGGAGAAAATTAAAGATGGTGTATCGTTTTTATTTGTTTTTTTGTGTGCTATCTTTTGGTTTATTTTATTTTTTTCTATCATATAAAGTTTTGAAGCTTTTTTCAAAAAATCTTATTTTTCAATAATGTACGGACAATTATATATATATATATATATATATATATATATATATATATATATATATATATATATATATATATATATATATATATATATATATATTCATATATATATATATATAAATTTATATAGATAAATAGAGAAAGAAAGAGGGATTAGCTTATGGTGTACCAATAATGCCATAATTTAAGTCTAAATGTTTAGAAAACATTTTTTTAATTATTCCTTAAATTTAGAGCTTAGTTTTTTTACACAATTGTACTATATAATTATTTTTTATATATACTTTTTTTCCTTCTTTTACATGTATGTAACAAGAAAAAAAAAAAGAGAAAGAAAAAGAGAGCAACAATTCAGACTCATTGCTATTGACTTTAATACATATTATTTCCATAATAAGAAAAGCATACCTTATTTCAATGATATCATCTTGTAACACAGCTAAGAAAGAGCCATCACTAAAAATCATTTTAAACATTTACATATTTACAAACTTATGCTGTTATTATTATTAAAAAGAAAACATTAATAATATAAAGTTATTGATTTTTATGAAAATTTTTGAAAAAGTTAAATAAAAATGTATTTAACTTTTTCAACTTTTTTTAATAATGATATATTTTTAATAATGAAAAACTAGGGATTGCAATACTAATATTACCATTGAAATTTTTTGATAAAATTTTCACCTTAGCAAAAGTTTTTTAAGAGCAAAATGCTGGCAAAAACAAACACAAAAAAAAGTATTAAAAAGTATAGTTTTATTATTAAGAATTTTATTGTGCATTATTAATTATTTTATTGTGTTTGTTAAATATTTGCAACCATTTTTCATACATAATTGGATAGCATATTTACATGTTAAAGAATATAGTTTAAACTCTGACACCATCTTAACAATCAAAGCATAATCCCAACTTAAATTACAATGAGAAAATTTATTTTTGACTATCTTGAGAATCGGGCTATTACAAACTGGAACATTTAACTAGACTGAGAAAATATGCATTCACTAGTCTATGAAGACTCTCGATAATAAAATATCAACTTGCTATAGTCAACGCATTTTCTAGAGGTTTATACTTTTAGCTTACTGAATTAAATCAGCTAACAAAACTGTTTTGAGCATAGTAAATATGTGCATGTTAATTTTGAATTTTTTATTTATTTTTTGCTGTAATTTTAGTTCATAATAACTTTTTTTATCATTTCATTAATGTAATAACATAAATTATAGTCCAATATACAAATAACCACCGTTAATTATTCCACATCTTTGCAATCCCTGTTTAAATTAGTACAAGATACAAAAATTGCAAGAAAACAAGAGAAAAAATTGTATAGTAGTGCTTATACAATAATAAAAACCTTGATACAGATAAACTCCACTCTAATTTCTTATTAATTAACTGCGCTAGTTGATGTGGTGGACAGCCAAAACTTGTTTGATAACTTAATATACAAAATATAATTTTTATTAAACAATAGTAGTTTGAATAGTAAAAAAATAGTTTGAATAGTTTGAAAAGTAAGAAAAAATTTCTTTACCGTAATTGCAATTTTAAACTTTTTACTGTATACCAAAAAATACCTAAAAATATATTTAAAAACAAAATTTTTTTAAGACATGACTGTTGACAATCGACAAGACATGACTGTCTTCACTAACATCAGCATCGTCATCATCACCATCATCATCATCAACATCATCATCATGAACATTACTATTCAATAATGTAAAGCATTACAAAGTAAAAACCACTATAACTTAACTTAATAAGTAAAGCAAAAAATACTAGCAGCTTGATATAACAACAACATAGCAGTGGATAATTCAGTATTAGTATGGTATTAGTAAGGTATTAGTAGTAAGTAAGACAAGCAGTATAAAAGTAATTCAGTATAAAGTATAAAGAGATAATAGTAACGTTTTTTGATACCTTCTGTGACTTTCCATAATTTCTTTAATAAAGACCCACGATATTGTTTCATGAACTCTAAATCACTGCAATTCTAATAAAGAAAAAAAAATATTTTTTTAGGATTATCATTTCTGGATAAATATATTACCAGAATTTGTTTACCATGTCAAAAGAGATTTTAAATAATAATTATTAATAAATTAATGTGGAAAATGAGTTGTTGCATTTGAAAAACTTTATTAAGTAATACAAATCTGGTGAGTACACCACTAATTCACATTTTTTGTGGTTTTAATGTTTATCCACAATATAAGTTATCAATAAAATTTTATTCAAAATGATAGACTGCAGCTGTATTCACATCAATTTATTTGAATATCGGTGTTAAAAACTGTTTCTTTTTTAAACAGCTGTTACCTTAATACAGGGTTTAACATAATGACATAAATACAACTGCAGAAAATTATATATATATATATATATATATATATATATATATATATATATATATATATATATATATATATATATATATACATATATACACATATATGTATGTGTGTGTATATATGTATATATGTATATATGTATATATATATATATATATATATATATATATATATATATATATATATATATATATATATATATATACATATATACACATATATGTATGTGTGTGTATATATGTATATATGTATATATGTATATATATATATATATATATATATATATATATATATATATATATATATATATATATACATATATACACATATATGTATGTGTGTGTATATATGTATATATATATATATATATATATATATATATATATATATGTGTGTGTGTGTATATAGAGATGTAAGTCGTTTTTTTGGTTCTTGTTTTTTTGCCAAAAAAAACGTTTTTTTAGCCCAAAAAACCAAGGGCTTCGTTTTTTGGTTTTTTTGCTTTTTTTGGTGTTTTTAAACAAACCACTAAAAATAACTTTAATTTTGGGGTGATATATATTTAGAGATATTTCTATTTTTCTATTAACCATTATAATGAATAAAAGTATTGTTTTTTTTTTAATTTTCATCAAATAATATCAGCAATTGTTCTCCAATTACTAACTATAAGTTCTTCAGTTGTTCATTAAACAGTTTCAGTAATTGTTCTTTAATTACCTACTTTACTATTTCATATTATGTTAAAAATAAAATATAAAAATAAAAGAAAAAAAGATCATTTAACAAATCTTTTTTTAATAAAATATAGTAGCAATATAACAGAGAGAACTTTTTGTCTTTTTAACGCAGAAATGTTTTTTGAGATAAGAACTATTTTCTTTAACAAATTTTTCCTCAAAATTAAAAACACATTTATTTAATAGAATGAGAAAATTATAAAAAATAAAAATATTATAATCTTATGAATGAAATACCACTGCATTGCAAAATGTAAAAGTATTTTAAGTTTCAATGATACTTTGGCACAGTTTTAATAGAAGTTTTTTGTTCATTAAACTTTACTTGGTATCTTCTTTTTTTTTTAACTTTTTGTACCATTAATTAAATTTTATTTGTCAACTATAAAATTATGTACCAGTTTACAATTAATTATATCAACAATAAATTTAAGTTAACTTTTATAATTGTATTTCATTAATAACTAAATTATTAATTATATTTTACAATATCAAGGTTCTAGTCATTAATTTGGCAGATTTCTAGTTATTAGGTCTAATATTTAATAAATATGAGCATTAATAGTAATAAGGTGGTATGCTGCCATACTGGTGGTAGAACAAAAACAACTGTGAGCACTTTATTTAAGCCAGCTAGCCAGGTGAGCAAAATGGAGAGAGTTCAATGTTCTTTTTGCAATGACATTATGTCAAAAAGTGGAACAAGAATGGCGATGCATATTAAGAAATGTAAATAATGTCCAGCTAAACTGAAACACAAATTTTTAAATGATGAGATAGTAGTGCAAAAACATCCCGTAAAAGATATAATACAAAGCAAAATAATAAGCCAATTTAAAAATCTTATTCCTGATAATAACTTAAAAAGTGTCACAAATACTGCTCCAACCTTAAATTCAGATGCGTTAAAACATTCCAAACCAACTTCTAAAAGTGGAAAATCCTGTTTAATGTTTGATAGTATGAAACTATGTGAAAAGGTTAGTATTAACATATTTTTATTTGAAAAAGTTATAATACAATTTTTTTTTTAATTATTTATTTGAGTTTATTTTTGTAATAGGAATCAATTGATGTACATTTATCCAGAGCAATTTATGCTAGTGGATCACCTTTAAGTTTAGTAGAAAATAGATATTGGAAAACCTTTTTAAATAATTTACGTCCAGCGTATAAAATCCTGACAAGAAATGAAATGTCAAATAGACTTTTGGACAATGAATATAATCGAATTTCTGCCAATGTTAAAGAGGTAGTAGCAACAGCAGATTCGTTAGGATTCATGTGTGATGGGTGGAGTAATGTAAGGTGAGTTCAATTAAATTATAGAATTTTTTATTGTTATAATTTTCATTTTCAAACTTTAAAATTCTTTAAATTTTTTAGAAATGAAGCAGTTATTAACTTTGTTTTGACACTGCCTTTATCAGTGCCTATTTTATGGAAATCACTGCCTTCAGGTAAAATGTACATACATTCCTCTGATTATATAACTAAACACCATTGTGTAAATTATTCTCATTAAAATAATAATTTTAAGGTTCATCAAGTCATTCTGGGGAATATATAGCTGATGAAATACGGAAAGTGTTAGAAGAAATTAATCCTAAAAAGGTCTTAGGAATAGTAACAGACAATGCAGCAAACATGAAAAAGGCATGGAGATTAATAAAAGAGAGCTATCCTTACCTTAATTGCTATGGATGTATATCTCACAGTCTCAATTTACTTTTTAATGATTTTATGAAACTTCCTACTCTTTGCGTGTTAATGTCACAAGCAACAGATATTGTAAAGGAAGTAAAAAATTCTCACATATTAGGTGCAATATTTAGAGAAATTCAAAAATCATCAGTGGAGTCAAGCATTTCATTAAAACTTCCTGTAAAAACCAGGTACTTGTAAGTTTTGTACAAGTAATTGAAACATAGCTTTATAAAATATATATTTGTTCTTTTACTTTTTTTAATCAAGTTAGTATTAGTGATTAAAACCTATTTATTATTAGATGGGGTTCAACTGTAGCATGCCTCGAGAGTTTACAGAAAAATAAACAGTGCTTAAGAACTTTGGCTATTTCTGAATGCTGTGTGTTAAATTCTACGATTAAAAACAATTTGTTATCAGATATTTTTTGGGATAAAGTTCAAGGATTTTTAGTTATGCTAACACCAATAGGTGATGCAATTAAAATAATGGAAGCAGATAGCCTAATGCTGTCATCTATAGTTGAAATTTTTTATATCTTAGAAGAAATTAATAATCAAAACATAGCAGCTAGTCCTTTAACTAAAAAAGAAGAAGCAGAAATGAAGAAACTATTTGCAAAAAGAAAAAAATTTTGCTTAACAGAAATTCATATGGCTGCTAATCTACTTGACCCCAAGTATCAAGGAAGATATTTAAATGGGGAACAAAAGGTAAGTTGATAGTAATTTTAGATTTGAAAAAAGAAAAATTTAACTTAATTTTAATCAATATTCTACACTTTTTTAACAGATTGATGCATGTGAAATAATCCATTCAATTGCTGTAAATTCGTCTAATATCAAAATAGATATTTTGATGTCTGATTTAGCAAATTACCAATGTAAAGGAGGCGTTTTTTCAAAAAGTTTTTTATGAACAGCAATTGACTTAACATTTGCTCCGAATTGGTAGAAGGGATTATGTTCATCTACTGAATTATCCAAAGTAGCAGCAAAAATTCTTCAGCTTCCAGCTACAAGTGCTGCTTGTGAGAGAAGATTTAGCAGTTATGCAAATATTCACAATGACAAAAGAAACAGGTTGACAAATGAAAGGGCAGGCAAATTAGTGTTTGTATCACAAAATTTAAGATTGGAAGCAATGGATATGTGTCTAACACAACAACCAATCTTGCCTAAAGAATCAATAAATACATCAGATGAATCTCGTGAATCAATCAATATTTCAGATGACTCACTAGATCAAGAATTATCTGAACTTTACAATCATGATTCTTCAGGAGATGAATTTTAAATAACAAAACCTGAAATAAAACTGTTGTTTTCTAATAAATTTTGAATTCGAATTTTTACTAAATAAAAATTTGAAAACAATCCAAACCCATAAGCAATGGAATACCTAAGTTAGGTATCCCATACATAATAATAAAGTAATCTGTGGTTACACAGTACATAAAAAAAATAACTGTTGTTTGTTATCTAATTTTAAATAATAGTGAAATTTGGTTCGCCAATTTACTAATCTATAATACTAAAAAGATCCATATTTTCTTAGCTCTTTTGCTAATGTCTCTGGTCTCACAAAATTAATAAACCTTAAGAATGTATATAATGTATATAAGAATGTATATATAATTGTATATTTGTATATATATATATATATATATATATATATATATATATATATATATATATATATATATATATATATATATATATATATATATATATATATATATATATATATATATATATATATATATATATATATATATATATATGTATGTATGTATGTATGTATGTATGTATGTATGTATTTAAGAATTTAATGCTAACTCAATGGAAAAAGCTTACAAAAAATCTTACTAATATTTGCAACATAAAAACTCACCAAAAAGAAGAAGGATAATATTATGTTGGGCTTACTGAGAAAACCTTTTTGTTTTTGCTGAGTCTTAATAATTATAACTTTATTTCTCTATGCAATTTATGCATAAAGAAAGATATTTTTAATTATAAAATTAAACTTACAATAAATTTGATGAAACAATTTATTACATGATGATGTAAGGGTTCTTCCATTAAGGACATCAAGCAAAATTTAATAATTAGAAGTAAAAGTTCATTGTCTCTCTTATGCTGAGATTTTCATTGAACATAAATTGCTATATTACAATATTATAGTGAAAAAGA